GCTGGCTGAGGAACTCTGGGAGTTGAAGTCCACAAGTCTTAAAGTTGCCAAGGTTGGACACCCCTGGTGTAGATGGAGGTTTTGAACGTACATCAGTGCTCTGGTAAGATCCATCCTATCCAGAGGTGAGCCACTGAAATGGTTGCATCGCGACAAGGAAAATGCCATGTAACTGTCCCTCAGCTGCGGAAAGTGAGGTTTGCAAATGCTGTTTGCCTGATTTGAATCCAAGGCAAAGTGGCTGCTTTGTAGGCAGCAAAGCGTTCCATTGTTCCTGGGGGCGAGCGGGGAGGGCAGCTGGGGTGAGGCTGGACAGCTTGGCCTGGGGGTAGATTAGGAAACATTAATTAAGAGATCAGGGGAGGGTGAGTTCTAGACCTGCCTTAGACACGAAGCCTAAGGGAGGGGGGGGCTTTGGGCCAGTTGCTCTGTGTCTCTCAGCCCAACCCACCTCATAGGGTTGTTGTTAAGGGGAAAATAAGAGTCAGAAATATTAGGAGTATTAGGATTAGGCTGCCTTGAGTGTATGTGTGTGGGTGGGTGTATGTGAGGGAGAAGGTGGAATATAATGATGATTTATTACAATTTATAATAATAAAAAACAAGAAGAACCTGTCACATAACACCTCAGGCTTGACAAGTGCCAATAAGAAAGACAAGAAAGTGTGAATAGTGGATATGGCAATGCCTGGAGTCAGGGGAGGGGGAGGGAAGAGAGAGGAGAGGAAGGGAGACGAGAAGAGAAGAGAGCTACTGATTAAACTATTACCAAAAAATTTATCACAAACTCGGGGAGGACAGAGGTAAATTTTGATGAAAGCCTGGCTGAAGGTATGATTATTCATTAGCCAGATCTGCTTCAAACTTTGAAGTGGGCAGCAAATAGAAGAGATAGAACTAGAGAAAATGACACAATGCAAAGACCTGCAAATAGAAGTAGAACAACTGTGGCAAAAGAAAGCAAAGGTGGCACCAATAGCCATAGGTGCCTTGGGTGCAATCTCAAAACAACTGGAGCACCAGGGGTGGGATTCAATTTTTTAAACAACCGGTTTCTGTGGGTGTGGCTTAGGTGGTGGGCATGGCTTGGTGGTCATGTGACTGGCTGGGCATGGCCAACTCAATATCACTCACATCGAGGCACGCATCTCCTCGCCTGGCCTCTCGTGATTGTGGGGATGCTGCAGTAATTATAAGTGTGAAAAATGGTTATGTCACTTTTTTCAGTGCCATTGTAACTTTGAATGGTCACTCCACATAAGCAAAGTACCAGCAAAGAAGGGGAAAAAAACTCCAGAGAAGTTCCAGAGACAGGAAATCTAGTCCTGCCAAGAATGTAATAAGGGTTAACTGAGAGGCAGTTTCTGTATGCAACCCCAGAATGTTTCCTTCCTGCCTTCCTTACAGGATTAGGCCAGGAATTTCTTCTAACAACTGGTTCTCCAAACTGCTTAGAATGTTAACAACCGGTTCTAGCGAAGAGGTGCAAACCTGTAGATTCTCCTGGGAGCCGTTCGGATCATCCAGAGAGTGGGAGGTGCTTCAGTCTGCGTCGTTGTAGGCTGAGCTTAATTACTGAGGATTGCTCTGCCCTTCACCACGTGGCTGCCTTGCAATCCCCAGTTTACGCTCAGCCTTCGTGAGATTAGGCTGTGCATTTCTTCACTCTTTGGCCAATTCAAGTTCCTTTTTAACAGCTATAGAAAAGAAAATTTCCCTTCAGGTTTGCCTTGCATTTCGGTTCTCCTTAGCCTCTGTGCAATTGGGGTGGCTATAGCAGGGGAGCGCGTTCTTCGCCCCCAGGGGGGATAGGGAGCGGGCGGCTTTCGCGCTCCGGCGCCAATCCTCTCCCCCCCCTTCCAATTCGGCTCCTTTCCTGCCGCTTTTTCGCGCCGCTATTGTAGCGGCTCCACTCGATCGCGCTGATAAGCGCAGCTGGTGATCCCCCCACCGCGAACGCCGATCGCCCCAAAAAGGGGCGAAAAATTGTCTCGCTGCCTCTCTCGGCCTCCAGGTTTGCCGGAGAGGCTTAGTCTTGCCCTGAGCGGCCCGTTTTTAAAGGGATCGTGGGCGGCCGCCATTTTGGGCGCCGCCATGTGTTTCGGGCGTTTTCTAACAGGCCTCTGCGACTGCGAAGAAACTAGTCTTCTAATCATAGGCCTCCCAGCCTGTGAGAACTTACTGCATTCTTAGATATTGGCAAATTGTTGGCTTTCCGCAGCAGCTCAGGGCAGGGAATTGCAGCCTATCCCTCCCGGTGGTTGCCTGGGAGCTCCAGCTGCCAGAGGCCTCACTCCAGCCTCAGGCGTTCATTTGGACAATTGGAGAATTTAACACCGTATCTGGGGTCACTCCCTCCTGGGAGCGCTGAACAGGTCCCGGTTTATTTCTTGTCAAAAAGTATTAATAATAATAATAATAATAATAATAATAATAATAATAATAATAATA